GAAGTATGTCGTACTGGGGTCCGTCGCACTGAGTTCACTCACTTGAACCGGGGTCACTCTTTTGCTTGCATTAGGGAAAAATTGCATGCGACAGCCCATCTCCTCCCCCTTCCTTGCCCTTCATCCGCGCCTGCCGTGTGCTGCTTCTTGGGACCACTTCGCCTTGGTGTCGCAAGCGCCAGGGGCAAACGGGCGGTGGGCGCAGCGGCAGGGCGAAGGCGGGGCAAGCAGAGGGAGGAGTGAGACACAGCAAGTGTGGGAGGGGGTAGCAAGCGGGGGCGGGCAAGAAAGGGAGGAAGGAAGGGGGATTCAACAGCAGCAGGGGGGAACGCGCATGCGGGCGGCAGTGGTGGCGCAAATGGTGGCATGGGTGTGTCCAGCACAGTGCTTCAGGAGCCGCCTTTTCCCACTCCTTTGGGTATATTTTGCGCATGAGCCACTGCTGTGACTGCCTCCCACGCCATGCCATCCATAACCCCGTGTTTGTAGGCTCCTCAGCACCACTGTCTCCTCTGTTTCTCACATTCGTCTCACCAGGCAGGAGCACGGAGAGGGGGGGAGTGCTTGGGTCGGAACATAGGGGGGGCGCATGAGCGGGAGTTTGATCACTACGAACATGCACGCAGGCACAACAGTGGCGCGACAGGTGGGAGGAGGGTTGATGGGGCAGGGAGACAGGGGCACCCGAGCATGGAGGGAGTGCGGCGGCCAGCAACAAGAACAGGCAGCACGGGTAGCAGAGGCAGTTGATTTGGGAGGTGCAAGAGCATGGAGGTGGTGCGCGCACGGCTCAGCTGCTGGCAGCTGACGCAGCACTCACAGATGCCATCCTCACGGGCACGATTATGCCCGCACCCGCCTCCTCCTCCCTGGGCTTCCCCCGGCGCTTGTAGTATGGCAGAACCGCCCCGCCAGTGCCCACAGCGGCGGCGGCGGTGGCATGGTGGGGAGCAGCGTGGATTGCAGTCACAGCATCAGCGAGGTGATGGGGCAGCGCAGCCTTGACAGCAGCGGCAGCGGCGTGTGCTGCAGAGACAGGGCAGCGTGGTTCTCAAACGATGGGGCAGCTGCGGCAGGGCGGAATGGGGCTGGCCGGCATGGGGGCTTTTAGGAAGCTTAATCGCTTTAAGCACCACAAAGAAATCCTCATAGAATGAAATTAAGCACTGCTTTCCTGGGTGTGATACCTTCATCTCTCTGCCACTACCCGATGTCCCTTACTCCCGCGCCCTCTCCCCCCCCATTCCCCCCACTGCCTTCCCCACACCAACCGCGTTATACATGGGCATGCGAGTCAAGTTACAAACAAGTTTGTTTTTTCTTTTGGAAAACAACTCGACCAAGTCAAGTTGAGTAAAACTCACGTTTCAAGTATGTGCTCGCCGCATTTGGCATGGTTGGGGGATTGGGGTTGCACCAGAGGGCATCGAGAAGGGTGTGGGATGTGCAGGGGGGCGACGTGGAGTGGGAGAGGGTGGAGGAAGTCGTGGTGACTTTACGTTTGCAAGGGATTTAGGGCTGCTAGGGCGAGCTGGAAGTGGGAAGGGTTGGGGGGACCGGGGTGTCTCCACAGAAGAGATTGACTTTTGCGCGACTTCGCAAGAATTTGTTGCAATCCAGCTCCTTTTATTCTTGCTAACTGCTTTCTATCCCCCCTCTCCCCGTACCCTCTACTCCCCCCTTATTTCAACTCTCCTCTCCTTCCTTAATCCAGCAGCCCATTTAGGGTGTCAACCCTGCATATTCAGCTCAGTTCGTCCCAGGTTAGGGTGTCAAACTTGCATATCTGGTTTAGTTCGTCGCCAAGTTAGGGTCAGACCTGCAGATCGCATGCGGATTGACCTAGGCCATCCTGCTCAACTCAGCCTTTTCGTTTGGCCCGATCCATACCGAGCCCGGTTAGAAATGGGTTGACAGCGCTCAAAGAGGGTAAGGCGGCACAAGGAGCTGACCACCCTCCTGCTTTCGTACAAATCCTTTCAACCCCCCACCCCCGACCTTTTTCTTCTTCCCCCTTCCGCTCCCCCTTCCTCCCTTTCTTCCCCTCCATCCCCTTCCCCTCCGTCCCCTTCCCCTCCGTCCCCTTCCCCTCCCCTCCTATATTCTTCTCTTTTCTGACCTTCTCATCTCGTATCCTTCCTACCACTCCCTTCCTGTCATCCCCTTTTTCTCCCTCATCTCTCCCTTCTCATCTCCAACTCCTCCACTCACCAGATTCAGCTCCCTCAGTGCCGCGCTCATCCTCCCCATCCTCCCCGCATGCCTTCCACCTGTCAGCATCTCATTCGCACAACTCCATTGTGCCGTGCTCAGCTGTCCACCCCATCACACCATCTTCATCTGTCTCCCCTTCTTGCCATTCACCTTGTGCCTTCCCATCCCAGGTCCTCTGCCCGTCATCACCCTCCCATCTACACCTCCACCATCCCACTGAAGCAGCAGCACCATAGCCATGGCACCTTCAGGCAGCACCTCTCGCACCTCCCACATTACCTGCTCCCCGCAATCCCGCTCTCTCTCCCTCTTCACCCACCTCATACTCCAACCACCCGTCCCCACTCCTCCCCCCTTCAGCTCCCCCCTTCCCCTCCAGTGTGGATGGTTGATGGTGGCAGAAGTGTGGCACCACACTCCAATCGACTTTCGAAACCTTTTACTCTCAACGTTCCCCCCTCCACCCCACCCCCCCCACCCCCCCACCACCCCCCCCTCCCCCCCCCCGCACCTTCCGTTCCCCTTCCCTACTCATACTCTCTCGTTCCAACCCGCCATCTCCCTCATTCTCCCCAAGGGGAAGGGACAGAGAGGGAGGGACAGAGAGGGAGGGACAGAGATGTAGGGACAGAGAGGGAGGGATAGAGATGGAGGGTCAGAGAGGGGGGGGGACACAGAGGGAGGGAAAGAAGGGGAGGGTTTAGGGTGGGAGACAGACGGGGAGACACAGTGGGGAAAAGACCGAGGGGGGAAGGGAAGGGACCGAGGAAGAGAGCTAGAGAAGGAGAGACAGAGGGTGAGGGACACACTCCTGCCTTCCTGCACTCACAATCTGCTTACTCTCCCTCCTTCCCTCTCTTGCTCACTCCTTCCCCCCTTCTCCTCCACCCCTTTTCCTCTTTCCTTCCTTCGCTATCTGCCAGTGTCCTCCCTTTTCCATTCTCTTGTAATTGCCTTCGCCCAACAATCCGATGTCCTTCCTATCCTGTATCCTTTGCATCCCCACCGCGCACCACCCACAATCCTACCCATTATTTCATCCCTTCCACGTGCCCTCCATATCCCTTCTCCTCACTCGACCATTCTGTCCTCCCTTCTCGATTCTTCCTGCTGTTTCGCTTTCACTATGCAGATGGTTCTCGACGGACCTTGACTGAATGGCTCATTTTGTAATAAAATGATGATTAGATTAGATGCTGAGCCAAAGTTTTTGGTACCATATTGGTTTATAGCATTTGATTTGAAACGGCAATGGATTTAATAGTGCTCCATGATCGGCTATCCAAATCCCACTAGTTGGCAGTTATTTATTTACTATGTTTGAAAGTGTTTCGCTTGAACGTTTCTCACCGTGGTTATATTTCCGAGATTTATATGGAGGCTGATTGTTTTTTTTTTCATATTCGTACCGTCAGCTGTCAAACGATGTTCAGTTGGACTCACAAACGAGGATTAGGATTTTTGTGTTGTGGCCGCTGTAGTTCCTCGCCACTTCGTTTCGCTTTCGCCCCACGCAATTTCTTTCCCAACACCTTCGCCAAAACTCTGCAGTTCAGGATTCTGGGGACAGATCTCACTCGTCAGAGAATTGTGTTTCCGCCATGGCAACATCAAAGCTAGCCTCGGAACAACAATCTAGGTCTGCAGGAGATGATCTAGGTTACATCAGCAGGCACCACGTCGAGTATTATCTCAAACCCGACTAGTTTTGTGCGGAAACAGACGGTCCGATTCGCTTTTCCAGTCACATTTTTCATTGGTTTGCCTCGTTCCATGGCAACATCCAACGTGTTCAGAGCCCTGGGATGGCTGCAGCTTATGCGAAGAATGGATTCTCAAGCACTTATACACCCCACGAGACTAAACGTGATTGGATGGTTTTGATTCTTCCCTTGATATGGTCACAATTGAAGGAGCCTCGCTTGCCTCGGGCATTGGCGGAACGCGTAGCACAGCGTCGCATGAATTGAAAAGCGTCGCATGGGTGGGAAAGCGTTGCTTGATGACAACATTTCATTGATCTCACAGCTTCAGCTTACACGGCGATCACATAGACTCGTTCGACTTCAGTCAGCGACCGAGAGAGCTCTGTTACTGGCCTTTCAGTTCCAGTGAAACCGACAGATTTCTAGTAGAAGTTGTGCCTAGACTGGAAACTTCCAATTTGATTTGAATCCTGCAGCACCCGTCATGGCTTTCGAGAGTTCAGATCCCATCTAGTCTGACGAACCGTGGATCGTTGCGGCCGTACAAATAGCAGTGGCGAGTCGGCAGAATGCGTCACGAATGAAACCTCTCCATTCGGTACCATTAGCTTCGGAATTTAGCACACGTAGACGCCTCTCTACAGACTGACGAGCTTCTGTTTTCGACTCTCAACCGACTGTTTCAGTCCCTCTTGCATACTTCTGCCTGCCACGCGAGACACGCCAGCACATTTAGGTCATGATAAGGCGGCAGAGCAAGAGTTCGCGAATTTGAAGCAGCAGGTTCATTTCGTTGCTCTTGGGCAGCAAAGTTTGCCCTTTCCTGATTTGACCGTTGAGCAAGCCCAATCTCAGTGCAGGTACAACCATCAACGTGTCTTCCTTGGAGAACAGTGCATGGATAAGGGCGAGATGAAAGCTGAGCAGTTCGGGGAAGCTCCTGGTGTTGGATCTGCTACTGATGTGCGTCGTCCTTCGTTCTCTCACACTACGTCTAATCCTGCTGCTACGTTTGTTGGTTATTTCACCTGACTGGCGTCGATCATGCCTCGCACCAAGGAAGACAAGAGGCACAAGCCGATGAGAGGAGCCGCGACAGGAATTGGCGGAGCAGAGCTGCTGGCCGGTGCTTCTGGTGCTGGCAGTAGCAAGGAAAAGGAAGAGGGAGAGGAAGACGCCGTGTTAGAGCTTCTGAAGTTGGAAGAGCAGCTGAATGCGACGAATACGTGGCTGGAGACACTTCAGCTAGGTCGACTAGGTCAGTCCACTCGGGCAAACGGAGGCGCAGCAGAGCAAGCGGTTGAGCAAGTGGAAGAGGAAGGGGATGAGGAAGAGGAAGAGGACGAGGAAGAGGAATATGCTGTGACAGACGCAAGCCTGTCGCTGACAATGCAGAAGTTGGAAGAGCGGGTGAAGGCTCTTATGATGCGGCAGAGGGGACCCTGCTCTGGAGTCCAGATCGACCAGGGTGAACCGGATCAGCCCGATCAGGCAAACGGAGGGGCAGCAGAGAAAGCAAGAGCCGAGGAAAGTCCGAAGCCGCTTCAGCAGCTGTGCCGTGCGGACATGGTTCACTACTTGGATGTGATGAATGGGTGGGACGAGGATCTGTGCGGGTGCTGCTTTGACCGTGCAGTGAGTCCGCGAGCACAGCGAGCACTTGCCATGAAGAACCTGGAGGACTTGCGTTTCCACCTGCGCAATCTGCAGCCTCGTTGCATCCCCGCAGCAGATCCCACGCAGCAGCAGCATCATGAAATGTTTTCTCAGGAGCAGTTTGCGTGGAAGGCAGAGATGGCGCCTCGCCTTTGCGCAGAAGGGATGTTTCTCGAGTGGATGGCTGAGCCTCGTGTGGGTGTGCTCATGGACCTGGAGAGAATCAGATCTCGCCTGCCTGCTATTTTGGATACTACAACAGTTGCTCTAGCTGCTGATGTCTCGTCTCCTGCTCCTGCTGCCCCTGTTGTTGCCCCTGTTGCTGCCCCTGCTGCTGCCCGTGCTGTTCCTGGTGCTCCTCCTGCTCCTTTGGCTTCTACAGTGTTGTCCTGCTGCTGGCGCTGCAGCAGCTGCTGGGCTGCCTACCGCCGTGCTGTCAGCTTCTCAACGTTCCTTGTGCTTGTAGCAAGATCCCCCCGCCTTGTGACTTTATGGCAAGCACACTTCGTCTTGCGTTCGTCGGCCTGGCCAGCAATCGCCACTGAGCTGGGGGCGAGCAGGCAGAGGGAGAGTGACAACTTTGCGTCCATGCTGGTGCAGGTGCTGGGGGTGAAGGAGAGTGCTGATCTGCAGGAGGGGTTTGGGTTCTTTGTGCAGCAACTGCTGTCAGGCGGGCTGGAGGAGGCGCATGCAGAGAGGAGGGGGGGAGCTGGGGGAAAGACAGCTGAGAAGGTGGATAAGGAGGGGAAGCGGAAGGGGGGAGCTGAGGGGAAGGCTTCTGAGAAGACGCATGGGGAGGGGAAGGCGTCATATGGGAAGGATGATGGGAGACACGGAGAGGAAGAGGCAGGGAGCAAGGTAGAGATTGATAGGGTTGCTGGCAAGTGCGGGAGGGTTAGTTCGGACTTGAGCTGGAGGGAGCATCTGAAGGGGCGTGTGTGGGAGAGGTATGTGGATGGCATAGCTTGGATTCTGGAGCATGGAGGGGGGGAAGGGAGGGAGTTAAGGTGCAGCCACTGCAGTGAGGGGGGCAGCAGCAGCAGCAGCAGCAGCAGCAGCAGTGGTGGCAGTGGCGGCAGTGGCGGCAGTGACAATGGCAGAAGAAGTAGCAGCAGCAGCGTCAGCATTTCTGGCAGCAGCAGTGAGAGCAGCAGTGCTCCGAGGGGTATGCGTGTGAGTGGTGTCAATGCGACTGATTTCGCCCTTGCTGTCACCCTAGTTTTATCGAAACCAGAGCACTGGAAGGATGGAAAGCTGTACTTCCTTGATGGGAACAATGTGAGCAAGGTGCAGGTAGAGGGTGCAGCTATTCAGGTGGCTAGGAAGAGGCTTCTGCAGCATGGCTTGAAGCAGACAAGGGGGATGAATGGAGTGGCAGCAGCAGATGTAGGAAGAACCCCGCCTGCTGCTGCTGTTGCTGCTGCAAGCGCTGATATGGATGCTGTACTTGTGCCTGTCAATCGAGGCCCTGTTGTTGCTGCACTCACCTATCGGGTCGGTTGCATCTTGCAGTGGGTCCGAGTCTACGGCTCAGATTCCATCTCGGAGAAACGGTGCTTCAAGGACTGCCCTCAGAGCAACGTCCGGCCCATGCGCCACCCGCTTCGGGACCTTCCGAGCCTGCTGGTCAGGTTCGGCGCCATCCCCAAGCCTCTGGAGGGAAGCGGCGTTCCTTTAGAGTGGGAGGAGTGGCCTGGGGGCGGCGAAGCTGCTGTGAAGTTTCCTGTCAACCGAAAGGAGAGGTGTGTTGGGCTTGGGATTGTGGAGGAGCGTGGTGAAGCAGGTGAGAAGCTGACCCAGGACCCTCGTCAGCACATACCTGAAGCAGGAGGGAGGTGCAGGCGTGCAAGAGGGAAAGGGTGTAAGGCAGTACGCCAAGGAGCTGGTGTGGAAGCCGAACAGAGCAGAGCACGTGGGAGAGGTGAAGCATCTCGAAATGATGAGCAGAGAGTAATACTACCGCCCGCCAGGAGGAAGCTTCCCATCGTTCGCTGCCTGGCAGATGTGGACTTCCTGGTGGGGTTTGCCGGGTATATCATGCACCCTCGGGCATGCACCCAGTGCTGCACCTGCTCTGCAGAATTCATACAGTCTGTGTGCATGGCTGCTCTCATCGCCAACTTCGCTCGCGTGCTCTCAGCCTTCCCGCCATCCTCCCCTGGCTTCGACAAGCTGGTTGAGTGCCTGGACCTCCCTGCACGCCTGCCCAGGCCTGTGAACCTGCAGATGCTGCTCAGCCGGGCGGAGCAGGTGCCTCTGTACTTCCTCATTCACATGGCCGTGTGGTGCGCTCGTCATCTTCTGGAAAGCTATGAGTTGGAGCAGCAATGCAGTGGAAACGAGCAGGTAGTGCAGTCAGGTGCGCGGAAAAAGGGTGTAGAGAAAAGGGGGAAAGGTGGGAGGGTGAGGGGGCAAGGCCTCTGGGATGGTGAGGTGGATCAGGAGAACGGTGGAGAGGTGTGGGAGGAGGTGCGGATGTGGTATTGTGCAGCAATGGCTGTGTGGAGTTTCAACAAGGGAAGCGAGGGAGAGAGTGAGGAGTGCAGGGGCAGCAGGAAGCGGGAGGGACTGGCTAAGGGGTGTGACATCACATGGATTCTTGAGGCAGCAATCACCCCGAGGTACTGTGAGGGGCTGCAAGGGCAACGTGGGTCTGCCAGGGGGAGCAGCAACTGTGAGTGGATGGGCAGCAGCAGCAGCAACAGCAACAGCAGTGAGAAGAAGAGGAAGGGGAAGGTGCCCGCTTATCTGAAGGCGTGGCCGGGTGGAGTGATTCTGGTGGCATGTCTGCGAGAAATGCTGCTGGGGGAGCCGTGCTACCGCCCTGCCTCCCATGCTGCAATGTCCGCCCCTGCTACTGCTTCCACCCATTCTGCTGCTGCTATGGCTTCTTGTCCTACTGCCCCTCCCAACCCCACTGCAATAAGCATCAGTGCTGCTACTGCTGCTGCTGCTTCAGATGTCCAAGGCTGTGTGTGCGGTACTGCAGGGTGTGCGAGGGTGGAAGGTGGTTCTGTGAAGCTGAGGAGGTGCGGTGGGTGTGGCAAGGTAGCGTATTGCAGCAGAGAGTGCCAAAAGGCGCACTGGCCCTCCCACAAGCTCGCATGCCCCGGCAGGAGCAGCGGGAAGAGGAGTGGGATGGATGCGAGCAAGGGTGGCAGCAGCCAGCAGTAGTAGTGGCACTACGATTGGCAAGGTGAGTGGGCAAGGCGGGGAGGCAAGGTGGGGAGGCAAGGTGGGGAGGCAAGGTGGGGAGGCAAGGTGGGGAGGCAAGGTGGGGAAGCAAGGTGGGGAAGCAAGGTGGGGAAGCAAGGTGGGGAAACAAGGTGGGGAGGCAAGGTGGGGAAGCAAGGTGGGGAGGCAAGGTGGGGAAGCAAGGTGGGGAAGCAAGGTGGGGAAACAAGGTGGGGAAGCAAGGTGGGGAAACAAGGTGGGTAGGTTAGGTGAGTGGCAAGGTGAGTTTTCAAGGTCAGCGGTGGGGTGTAAGGCAAGGTGTTTAGGTACGGACCTAACGAGGCATCATGCCCTTTGCCATCTGATTTGTCAGCATGGTTGCAAGCAACGAGGGTGTGTGAAAGCCCTCTCTTTGCATGTACGTGGGGTGTGGTTTGCTGTGGATGCTGCCGGTCACCTTGTGCAGCAGTAGCTGGCGGATGGCCATACTACCGTATATGTCCTGCTCATCTTTGTTTGAGGAAGAGAACTCCACAATGACTTTCATTCCTCACTCTCGTTCCTTCTGATATTTCCCAACTTTTTCTTACTCAACCGTTCCCGCTTCTTGCACTTCACCCTTAACCTCACTTGCTCTGCACAGGTCTAAGGATGCATACCCACGAGCAGGTGTCTGAAATTTCCGGGTCTTGCGTAACATGCTACTGTGGAGCGAAAGTGCGAGAGCACGGAGTTGACTGCCGTTCAGCGCAGTGCCACTTCAACGGAGGCCGACACTTGAATCAGATCGGACATGAGATTTGCTTTAATTATTTGTTGAGACATGATCATCTAGAGCATCTGAATCTGGTGTTAGGATGTAATGAGGCGAGTCCTGTTTCCTGTGCAGGTTCTCGTTTGCCTTCGTTCTCTAGACAATTCCAAGCGCTGGCTACAAGTGACAGATGCAATACGCATGCCGTTTCTCAGGAGTTGTGCCAGCTGGCAATTGTCTCAGCGAATAAATCCGCCATGATTCGATTCTCTGCTACCCCGGTGGCCCCCCTCACCTCACCTCCATTGCTTACCACAGAAATGAGCCATCAGCATTCTATTAAAACCAGGGTGCACATTCAACGCGGTTCGGCTTGAGATGTTGGGAAGGGGGTTTGGAGAAAAACAGTGATTGGCTCACGAGGGGCGACAAAAAAATGATTCCGCTAGAGCTTCGGGCATTTCGTAGGTGGCGGGAGGGGGTGAAATGGCGGGAGTGGGTGAAACCGAATGGCGGGAGGGATGAAACAGATTGGCGGGAGGGGGGGGAAACGAAATTGCAGGGGAGGGGGGAAACAAAATTGCGGGGGAGGGGGGAAACGAATTTCGACGGGGAGGGGGAAATGAAATTGCGGGGGCGTGGGGAAACGAAATTGCGGGGGAGGGGGGAAACGAATTTCGACTTGAAGGGGTTGAAAGCACACCTCGTAACCCACTCAGTCAAGGGATAACCTTTGATGCACATTCAGCTGAATGTGCACCCCGGTTTTAACAGATCTAAGCCACCAGTCTGTACTTGAGTGTAGGTATTGAAGCCATAACGATCTTCCAAACGAACGGACAATATGCTCTCTTTGGATTGTGAGAAAGAAGCGAACTATTCAGCAGCACTTTTCCTGCAGCAACACCCATGACAAGAAGGCCAGCAAGACCCATGAAAGAGTGTTGTCAGGAAAGCTGGGCGGTAACAAACCTGACAACACAGGCCAATCTTCCAGTATCAGATGTTACAGCGCAAGCATCTATCCTTGCCAGATGGAGAAATGTATCATGTCCAACATCTTGTGCATGGTGGCAGGAAAGCTGTTTCGTACAGTTTCTTCCTACCAAGATGTTTGCGCACAGCTTCACTTTGTAGGAAACCAGATAGAGGCGACCTAAAGTGCGAAGCTCCCCCACATGGCAGCCACCTTGCATCTGCCACAGAGCCATTCAGTACGAGACTGGGGGAGTTAGTGATAATGGCAGTGGTGGCACTGGTGGTTGGTAGGGCAGAGCTGATGGGATGAAAGGGCCATCGATTTGCAACATGGGGGGGGGTGGAGAGGGTAGAATACTGATCATGCAACTTTTGCATTTAGGGGGGTGCATAGCAGCTTGCACCCTAGAAACAAGCAACCTACAACCAGATCCTTCATACCAACTGACCAAACTGCCCTGAATAATCTCATCTTAGTCGAAATCTCTTCACACTCCCCGGACTTTCCTCATGTCGCTCTATCCTTCCTCATAATGCCCGGACTTACTCGAACTGCCCGCCAACGAGGAGGTCTTGGAAGCCCTCTGCCGATTGAAGTCGCAGCTGTTGAACACCTTTCTTTATCGTCCATGATCCCAGTATCATGATTCATGCCATGCAACGGCCAGTCCGTCCAGTTGATTACTGCAAGGGGGGTTATTGTGGCGCGGCAATGCCATGGGCAACCATAGCAGCAGCACCAACAATAGCAGCACCAACAATAGTCAGGTGGGTGACTCAGGTGGGTGACTCAGGTGGGTGAGTCAGGTGGGTGAGTCAGGTGGGTGGCTCAGGTGGGTGGCTCAGGTGGGTGAGTCAGGTGGGTGGCTCAGGTGGGTGAGTCAGGTGGGTGGCTCAGGTGGGTGACTCAGGTGGGAGACTCAGGTCGGTGACTCAGGTGGTGGGTGACTCAGGTGGGTGACTCAGGTGGGTGACTCAGGTGGGTGACTCAGGTGGGTGACTCAGGTGGGTGACTCAGGTGGGTGACTCAGGTGGGTGACTCAGGTGCGTGACTCGTGGCAGTGCTGTTGTAGTAACCTCCGTGAAGCACCAGCCACGTCGCCCCACCATCCACTCACCATTCACTTGGCTTGCTGCCTGGCTCACCACCTTCCTTGCATGCCCATGCAGTTGGGTAAGCCACGGAATCACCAATACCGGAGGTGCGCGAGAGGCTGCAGGCGAAGCTGGACTGCTAGGTGCCCCGTGGCCGTCTCCCTCTTGAAAGACGAACAGCGGGATAGGGAGTTGCGATGAAAAGTATGTGGGCGAGCCATGGGGTCACCTGGTCAGTAGCAAGCGAAGCTAGGTGGGCTGCTGGTTGAACCATCGCAGCTAATTTGCATGGACGAGCAGAGGGAGAAGGAGGTGGGTGTTTTAAGAAGTGCTTTTGAGTGAGGGTATTGGGTTGCTTGGCTTGGCTAGGCTGCTGGATGCCTTGTTGCCCTGTCCTGGCACAGAGAGAGAGAAGGAGGTGGGCTGTAAAGGTCAGTGCTGGCTGACTGTTGTTGGGTCACTCTCGGGTCAGCCTTGGGTCAGTCTTGGGTCAGTCTCAGGCTGAATGTGTTGAGGCTGATTTCCCTGTGCCTGAACTCCCCCGTGCCTGATATTGCCGTGCCAGGAATAATTCAGGCAGGCATGATTCAGCCAGGCATGGTTCATGCATGCAGATTCATCCATGCATGATTCAGCCAGGCATGATTCAGCCAGGAATAATTCAGCATGGAATGATTCAGCCAGGCATGATTCAACCAGGCATGATTCAGCCTGGCATGATTCAGCCAGGAATAATTCAGGCAGGCATGATTCAGACAGGCATAATTTAGCCAGGCATGAATCAGGCAGGCATGATTCAGCCAGGCATGATTCATGCATGCAGATTCATGCATGCATGATTCTGCCAGGCATAATTCAGCCAGGCATGATACGGCCAGGCATGATTCAGCCAGGCATGATTCAGCCAGGCATGATTCAACCAGGTATGATTCAGCCAGGCATGATATAGCCAGACAAGATTCAGCCGGGCATAATTCAGCCTGGCATGATTCATGCACGCTTGATTCTGCCAGGCAGAATTCAGCTAGGCAGGCATGATTCAGCCAGGCATGATTCAGCAGGCATGATTCAAGGATGCAGATTCATGCATGCATGATTCTGCCAGGAATAATTCAGCCAGGCATGATTCGGCCAGGCATGATTCAGGCAGGCATGATACAGCCAGGCATGATATAGCCAGGCATGATTCAGCCAAGCATGATTCAGCCAGGCATGATTCAGCCAGGCATGATTCAGCCAGGCATGATTCAGCCAGGCATGATATAGCCAGGCATGATTCAGCGAGGCATGCATGATTTAGCCAGGCATGATTCAGCTAGTCATGATTCAGCCATGTATGATTCAGCCATGTATGATTCAGCCTGGCATGATTCAGCCAGGCATGATGTAGCCAGGCATGATTCAGCCGGGCATGATTCAGCCAGGCAAGATTCAGCCAAGAATGATTCAGCCAGGCATAATTCAGCCAGGCATGATACGGCCAGGCATGATTCAGCCAGGCATGATTCAGCCAGGCATGATTCAACCAGGTATGATTCAGCCAGGCATGATATAGCCAGACAAGATTCAGCCGGGCATAATTCAGCCTGGCATGATTCATGCATGCTTGATTCTGCCAGGCAGAATTCAGCTAGGCAGGCATGATTCAGCCAGGCATGATTCAGCAGGCATGATTCATGCATGCAGATTCATGCATGCATGATTCTGCCAGGAATAATTCAGCCAGGCATGATTCGGCCAGGCATGATTGAGGCAGGCATGATACAGCCAGGCATGATATAGCCAGGCATGATTCAGCCAAGCATGATTCAGCCAGGCATGATTCAGCCAGGCATGATTCAGCCAGGCATGATTCAGCCAGGCATGATTCAGCCAGGCATGATATAGCCAGGCATGATTCAGCGAGGCATGCATGATTTAGCCAGGCATGATTCAGCTAGTCATGATCCAGCCGGGCATGATTCAGCCATGCATGATTCGGCCATGTATGATTCAGCCTGGCATGATTCAGCCAGGCATGATATAGCCAGGCATGATTCAGCCGGGCATGATTCAGCCAGGCAAGATTTAGCCAGGAATGATTCAGCCAGGCATGATTCAGCCAGGCATGATTCAGCCAAGCATGATTCAACCAGGCATGATTCAGCCAGCCATGATTTAGCCAGGCAAGATTCAGCCAGACATAATTCAGCCAGGCATGATTCAGCCAGGCATGATTCAGCCAGGCATGATTCAACCATGCATGATTCGGCCAGGCATGATACAGGCAGGCATGATACAGCCAGGCATGATATAGCCAAGCATGATTCAGCCAGGCATGATTCAGCCAGGCATGATTCAGCCAGGCATGATTCAGCCAGGCATGATATAGCCAGGCATGATTCAGCGAGGCATGCATGATTTAGCCAGGCATGATTCAGCTAGTCATGATCCAGCCGGGCATGATTCAGCCATGCATGATTCAGCCTGGCATGATTCAGCCAGGCATGATATAGCCAGGCATGATTCAGCCGGGCATGATTCAGCCAGGCAAGATTCAGCCAGGAATGATTCAGCCAGGCATGATTCAGCCAGGCATGATTCAGCCAAGCATGATTCAACCAGGCATGATTCAGCCAGGCATGATTTAGCCAGGCAAGATTCAGTCAGACATAATTCAGCCAGGCATGATTCAGCCAGGCATGATTCAGCCAGGCATGATTCAACCATGCATGATTCAGCCAGGCATGATTTAGCTAGGCATGATTCCGTAAGGCATGATTCAGGTAGGCATGATTCAGCCAGGAATGATTCAGCCAGGCATGATTCAGCCAGGCAAAATCCAGCCAGGCATGATTCAACCAGGCATAATTCAGCCAGGCATGATTCAGCCAGGCATGATTCAGCCAGGCAAGATTCAGCCAGGCATGATTCAGCCAGGCATGATTCAGCCAGGCATGATTCAGGCAGGAATGATTCAGCCAGTCATGATTCAACCTGGCATGATTTATCCATGCATGATTCAGCCAGGCATGATTCAGGCAGGAATGATTCACCCAGTCATGATTCAACCTGGCATGATTTAGCCATGCATGATTCAGGCAGGCA